AACATTCTGTACTTACCGTTGGAAATGTAGTTGTAACAAGTTGCATACAATTTTTCGACGATTCACCGTATATTATTTTTTATTAAATAATTTTATCCTGTACATTTAAGAATCTACACATTTTCCTTTGCACACTTTTTAAACATAGATTTTCTCTGTATTTACTTTTATTCCTTTGCAGCCGCTGCAAAAATATTCCGTTTGATTATTTGCAGACAAATAACTCCCTAAACTGGCCGTGGTAGCTACTGCTGTTTGCTATTCGGCTTCCTTATTTACAGGCTCATGAAGCACATACACTAAAACACTGGCTCGGCTCCAGCAGCTAGTCTTATGTTCCAGTGGGAACATATTCATATACATATGTGTATTATTCCTACATTCACTGCCGAGTCAAAATTTTGCAGAGCAGCGATTACAGACAATTGAAAAATTTTCCTGTGAAGGAGTGGCGGGCTCGTCTGAATTGTATTGTATGAGCTACCGTAAAAAATTACTTTGTTTCACAAATAATTTATGAATTGTTCACTTATAATAGAATTAGACACTTTTCCATTTATTAGCACTGCACTTTTCTCATATTTTTGTTTATTTATAATTACTTTACATACTTTTCCGGCTTCTATCGCAAAGTAACACATATGTACAAATTCACACATATACGAACGCAAGAGGCAGCAATTCAACTAGAGGTACTAGCGGGCAAATATGCCAATTGTACAAAATATTTAAATTTTCGAAACTTCTTTATACCTTATAAAAGGTTATTTACACTCTCTTTGTAACTAAAACTTTGCGTTGCAAGCATCATATCACACTATATATATTTTTTACTTCAGCTGACTTTATTTGCACATCTTTATCCAAGAAATTATTCACCGAACAACTCCACTGACATACGTTTCTTTCGGCGTCGTATTTTGCAATGGCAATAGTTAAAAATGYATATCGAATTGGATTTATGAACGACAGACCGAAAATATGCAACACTGCAGAATGGAAACCTAGAAATAGTACAGGGTGTACGAAATGACAACATTAGTTAAAGATTTTTGATATTCAACGAGTTATCTACAAACATATTTAAATTATATCTTTATTTCTTAAGAAAATAGGCTTTCAACATTTTTAAAATGTCTAGTATGGAAAAATGTGTTAAAATATATGTATTTAAAATTTAGTTCGTAAAACTATGCATCACTGTTTAGTGCATCGCTGCATATGTTTGTTGGTGTCAGCTGTGACCAAAATAAAACAAGTTCTTTGTTATTATTTGTGTATAAAAATTCATGTAACTAAAAAAATTATATTTTAAGTCACTATGATATAAAAAAAATTGCATATCAAAATGTATAGTCCAAGTGTTTCAGCAATTATAGTTTTATTTTTAACCGATATATCTCGCGGATTGGCGGAAAATGTAGGTATTTCCATTATTCTTACTTTTCATATTGAATTTTTTCCGACGCTTTTATTTTTTGTTTATAACATTTTATTTAATTTGACTTATTTTCAGATATGTCAAAAATATTTGCGAGAGTTAGCCAAAAAACAGAGTGATTTCGTGCAGTGTTCCACACTACATTCGGTGCCAGTGAGTCTTTGTGTGGGGTGTGAGGAGCCATTTACTGAGATGCATGTGGCTTACATGACCTTACGTCAGGAGCAAAATTGTACAGATAAATTTTTTGATAAAGATCGTATAAATATAGTTTCAACAACACAATCGATACTTGTCGGTATTTGGAGGAAAGCGTACTGTGATGGTTAGCATAAAGTTAACTATTATGTTGTTGTTATTTTATGTTTCTTTATTAATTACAGATTGCTTTACCAGTAATAATTCATACGTCTTTGATTTAAAGCGAACTGCTTTTGATGATTGTATAACAAACAACAAAAATAGAGAATGTGCGTCGTGCATATCCCAATATCTGGACTTGAACGAATTTTATCTTGGTTTGGATAAAAATAACAAAGGACAAGTTTGTTATGACATGCAAGACTCGGTAAGAGTTCGCCTTAATTATTTGCAATAAATATGCCTCGTTATTCTCCATATGAAAATTATATTTGTCAACAGATGAATCGGACAAGAGAAGAGTGGTCTAAAGATCTGGGTTGCTGTCATCGTGAATTTAATATTCTATTATTTGCTGTTGTTAGCTGCATCGTTGGGACGTTGCCATTAATATTTTATGGCACGCTGTATGCGATAACAAAACGACAGGAGCGTAATCACAGTATAATTGAAGGTAAATTATATAAAATGACAGTAATAATTTAAATGCCACTGCTATTAATTTTAAATTAATTGTTTAAGATAACCCTGCACAAAACATGTTTTTTGATTTTATAGACACTTATCAAAATGGAACTTCAACTTCTAACAATGCAAGCAGTTCAATTCCTAATTTACTGAGCACGACAACAGAAGCTACACGTCCTCACGTACCTCTATAAAAGGATAACTTACGCTAGTAGCGGTTCAAATCAGGCTATTTGTACAATTTCGAAATATTATTTTATAAACTACTAACTATAATTTGTAATTATTATATCCAATACTTAAGACACTATAATAAGTATGTATATAATACTATAACAAATATATGTACAAATATATTTTATATGCGTTTAATGACTACATATTTGGTATTTTGTGTTTTTAACAACTAATTAAGAGAAAATCGCACTTTGCAATTATTAAGTGTGTTTATTTTTAACAGCTGATTAATTTTACTTTTTATGCTGTTACAAATACAACATTATTTATCGATATAGATTCCGTATAAAAAATATCGGTCGTCGATGATATTAAAAAAAAATTTAAAAAAATGGCGGATACCATTAAAAGTGAATAAGTTACATGATATTTACATAAGTGATTCTGAATAATTAAGGTAGTAATTTAATAAACTTTATTAAGGCTATCCAAGTAATTCATATACAGCTGGAAGAAGGAAATTGAAAACGATAAATTGGACTAAATACAACACTGCCCTGGCTGTCAATTGAAAAAAAACCTATCGAGTGCATAGTTTTTATGCGGTAAATTCCCTTTGTTAAGTAAAATGTGTTCCTACAGCATTTTAATGAAGCTAATTCCTCTTTTATTTGTTGTACACCATGTCCTAGCAGAAAATGTAAGTTTTTAATGTTGCGCTCCACATTTTCTATTCGTTTAAATGTTTTCACAATTACATTGAATGACTCAGATTTGTAACAAATATCTGCGAGAGTTAGCCCAAAAACAAAGTGTATTCGTGCAGTGCTCAACATTGCATTCAGTGCCGGTTAGACTTTGCATAGGTTGTCAGACGCAATTTACCGAAATGCAAGACATGTATTCGCTCATGCGCAAAGAGGATAATTGCACAGAGAAGTTCTTTGATAAAGATCGCATCAACATTGTTTCTACAACACAATCGATACTAACCGGGTTATGGACAAAGGCGTATTGTGATGGTTAGTACATGTGTTGCTATTTAAATTATTAAATATATTCATTTGTTTTTTTTTTGTACATTGTCTAGATTGCTTTCATGGCAATAATTCGGATATATTCGACTCAAAGAGAATAAATCTGGAAGTTTGCCTACGCGAGAACAAAGGTAAAGAATGTGTACTCTGTTTGACCGACTATCTGGATCTAAATGAATTTTATGTCGATTTGGATAAACAAAATAATGGACAAGTTTGTTACGATATGCAAGATTCGGTAATGGTATTTTTAATATACTGTCGCTTTATATAATCATATTTTTATTGCTCCTAGATGAATCGAACGAGAGTACACTGGTCCAAGGATTTAGATTGTTGTCATCGTAAATTTGATATGTTGCTCTTTCTTATTACGTGCGGCATTGTAGTCCTACTACCATTATTATTTTACAGCAGCACATACGCTTTAACGAAACGACAGGAAAGATACCACGATATTTTAACAGAAGGTATGTAATCATAAACAGGCTTGTTTTTTGAATGTTGTTTAAGTAACATTTTTCCCTCTTATAGAACCAAGATACAATGCCCCGTCTACAAGTGCCATGGCAAGCAGTTCCGTCGCTGATCTGCCAAGTACATCATCAACGGCAACGTGTCCACGTGTTCCTTCAAAGAAGAACATAATAGATATTGAAGAGTATACATCCTCCGATGGTGATGATGAATACGTGGAGGCAAAAACCACAAAAACTCGTAATAAAATGGCATAAACTTAAGTGGTTTTAACTATTACTATTATTATAAGAGACTGCAAAATGTTGAGTTGGCAGCATTTAAACACAATTTAAAATTTTATATATCAAAATAAAAATTTATTAAAAAATTAATTGCACCTTCAAATAATGAAACTCCATTATAATAAAATATCACATAGCCGTCACAAAATCTTCGCTTTCCGTTTTGGACCAGAAGAGAGGCGCTGAAAAGAAAGGCAAAAAATATGGCTCTAGTCTACAGTGTGGTCCACGGTCTAGTCTCTGTGTTACGTCATCGTTACTCGTTGCTTTCATAATGACATTGAGTATTAACTGTACCCGTTATATAGTAATTTGAGATGAAGCTACTTTAAAATGAATGGTAAGGTAATAGGAAATAATTGCAACTCCAAAACCGTAAAAGCGCTCTTAGTGTTGGATAGAACAAATCTTATCGATTGCATGGGATATTAGTTTAAATCAATTTCAAATATTTCTATACTTTTAATACGGTATTTTAAGGCCGGTAAAAAGATTGAAACACCGAGAAGGAACGTCAGAGACTAAAGCATATTTATAAATGATCACCATGATGATCTGAGTCGATTTATCCATGTCCATCGATCTACAAATGACTCTCCGTTCTCGAGATGACGATCTGATATTTTGCACACTTTATTTTGCCTAAAAGAAGCTGATTATTGGTCGGAACCGTAGATAAAGGACCGCTATAGCATATAGCAGCCAAAGAAACTAAACGATCAAATTATGTTTGGATGGAAAACTTATTTATTTTACCTATGTCTGAACGAAGTTTGGTTCGAATTATGGTTATAGACAGCGGCACAATCTTTGAAAAAACTGTTCAGATCGGATCACTATAGCAGATAGCTGCCATACAAACTGATGTTCCACAAACCAATCCTTGTATAGAGAAAAATTTGCGCTAACGATTTATATTCACAAAATTTGACACTTATTATTGTCCAAGGTAACGCTATAAAATTCCAAGAAAATGTACAAATCGGACTAGTATAGCTTAAAGCTGTCATAAAAACTGAACGATGAAATCATGATATTTTTATACCCATTAATGCTAGGAGAAATGCGACTGTGAATGGTATTATCACTCTGATACAGCCGAATTTAACATTTTTAATTTTGTTTGGCAGATTTGATTTGTTTTAGCAACACCAAGTTTACTTTTTGAGTGTTTTGTTTTTGCTGCGAAATATTCAGTCCCATGAACTTAGTTGACGTTTCTATCAATCATTGCTGCATTATGCAGGACACAGGAGTGTCAAAGTCAAACAGCTTTTCCCATAAACATGGTCTGCATGGTCTGAAAGACAAGAATTAATTTAATTAGAAAGCATAGATACAGTTGGTTCCAGGCAAATTTGATTTATGGTGCGTTATGTGCTGTAAGCAAGGCGGAAACTAGAATGGACTCAAGAGCTTTACGCTCGAATCCCGTTAGACATATTTATGCACTTAACTCGTTAAACACGAGTACGAAACATTTTGTAGTTTTTCATTTCAAGCACTTCATTTTTTATGTTGTCTAAACCCAAGCGGAAAAGTTCTTATAAATATATACATATGTATGCTATAGAGGGTTGACACATTCACTCCAAATCAAATTTGAATAGGAGGAGGAGATTGATGAATAATAACTAGTTGTGTCCAATAGGCTTTGTTATTTTCTTGAATACGGAAGTGACTTCAGCAGAATAAGGTATGGCAATAATATTGTATAATCTTCTCAACACAAACACTATATTTCTGTTGCCACTTCAATTTTTTCTACCTGAATGTTGAAATGTTCCATTATTTTTTACTTTTTGGATAACTTGCATTTGAAACACTGCACACACTTTTGCTTCCGATTTTATTTTTCAAATTTTTTCATTTAGTTTGATGTAACTGGTTTTTCATCTTTTAGCACTCTTTTTCTTTATTTGGAAAGCTGATAGCTTTCAAATAGTTTTAATGGGAATGGGTAAGGGTAAACGTCTTTCCTTTAAACCGGTCAAAGCAGTCCATATTTTCACAACAGTTCGTGTGTTTTCTTTTATTTTCGAAAACATTGCAACCTCTCCGCCTTCGTTCAGCAAATAAAGTTCACATATGTATGGTTTTGTTTATATTTTTACGATACGTATAACTATAACTATGATTTAAAATTATATAGTATGTATATGCATTGTATTTATAATTGAGAAAGTTTGTCAACTTTTCATTCCTTTTACCATGGAATTGCTTTTGTTGTACAGCGACACAGTGTGTTATTTATTTAAACATGTACTTTTAAAATTAACTTTAGTCAATAATATATATATCTTTTTTTTTAATTTATGCGAACAAAACTGAAGTAATACATTTATTGATATCATTTTCATAATTTGGGACTGCAAGTATGATATTTGTAATAAAATATGTAAATATGAAGTTTTTGCATTGCAATTTTAATTTAATAACTTTAACATTCGAGTCAGAACTGCAATATAGGCTGTTCATTGATTTCATATATAAATAAAATGTATTTAAAAATATTTTTTAACTTTGTTTGATTTTCACTTGTAATCCCAATTGAAAAATGAAAAATTTTCATTAATAATGACTTATTACTGAAAATATATGTTTCGACTAAATTAGTTGTTAATGATAACACAACTAAAAAGTATAAACATATGCGTCATTTTCTTGTTTCTATCAATGTCTATATAACTTTTTAAGATTTAATACATATACACTTTATATTTGAGGGATTTTAAAATATTTTCGCATGTTAAATTTGTTTGCCTAAATTTGCAATCACTTTACGCGTTATTAAGTAATTTGAAGAGCATTATATTAAAGAACTTAGTAGCCGCACTTGAATAAAATATTACTCGCATGCAGCTCAAAACCTCACTCGTTTTCCGCCACACATTCATTCCGATTATATAGTTCGAACACGAAGAGGTTACGGGGTGCATTTAAAGAGGTTCATTATCGGGATATTTTTTTTTATATTTTTTTTTTTTTAAGAATTTCGACGCACTTTTTCACACAAAACCTTCATCAATTTTGCTTTCTTTAGTGGTTTACGCGTTCACAATGGGAGGACGTTTGTAACCGTCTGCCCGTAAATACTTCACTTTACACCTTTGTTGCGTATATCATATTCATAGATACATTGTTGTTTTAACGTCTACCGTCACGGTAATTACGCGCTCCACCGCTGCTGCCACCACCAGCACGGAAATGTCTATCGTTTCCACCGCTGCGGGATCCGGAGCCACCACTTACACCACCGCTAGGTCCACGATAGTCACGACCACCAGCTCGTTCACGTGGACGCATCATATTTGAGTTGTTGGAACGTTGGCTGTTGCTACGAAAACTGTTAGGACCACCTGATGTGCTGCCTGCATTAATAGCATTAGTAGAACTTGAAAAACCACCACTACCTCCGGCAGAGCTAGAGCCCCCAATACCGCTGTTACCACCATTGGAAGCTGACGTCCCAGCACTGCTGCCAAAGCTCGGGAAACCTGGTGGCATACCATCGGGTAACGTGGGTAAACCGGCATTTTTCCATGCTGCGAAGTCTTCATAGGATGGTGCTTTGTCAAAACCAGGTGGTGGAGGCCTAATTGGCTGAGGTGGAGGATAATCTGGCAGTGGTGGTCCATCGTAGTAACGCACTGGTGGCGGTAATTGATCGTACATAGATGGCGGACCTGGTGGCGGTAAAGCACCCGAACCGGAAGCAGATAGTGGAAGTTGCGCAAATGGCGGTACGAACGGTAATGGAGGCAGTTGTCCATGCATAGAGCGCATGTAGTCTACCATGTATGCTTCGGCAGAATTCATATACCGATCCCATGATGGTAAGCCGGTATCGCCTCCACCTGCACGTGATCCTCCACTTCCACCCGCACCTACGCTACCACTACTGCGGTATGGCGAGGATGAGCGTTTAAAACCGCCACCCGGTGGCATTCCGAGTGGTGGAAGTTTATAAGGACGATGAGGTCCGGAACTAAATGTACGCCTATGTCGCATTGGACCACCACTACTACCAGCTCGACGGTCGCCTTGGCGGTAACTCGGGAAACCGCTGCCAACACCGCCGCGACTACCACGTGAAGATAAACTTCGCGGTGGACGATATGAGACACGAATTCCTTTTTCACGCATCATTTTAGCAGTTTCTTTCGATTTTCGTAATATAGGTGTCATTTCGATTTTCTCATCTTCGGGGAATAAGCGACATAGCTCTGAGCCTACTTTGGGCTCAATTTCTTGGCCATCACGTCCAATTTTAACCGGCTTACTTTCATTCCACGTATTGTATAGGTGAGAAGTACAGTTAAATGACAGCTCTTTTCGACATATCCAATCCAACTCTATTATACCTCCGAGTGCCTTTGGAGAGATACTAGGTGGTAAAACCCATGCCGGATGAGAAAGATCTCTGCGCGACTGTGAACTCATGCGTGCAAAACCAGCAAATTTTCCTAAAAAGGCAAAAATGTAATAATAAAATTATTATTACGAAAGTTAAAGAAGTCAATGGTCGTTTGCTTGCCAATGACGAACTTATTTTTTTTAAATAGTGCTAGGAAGTTCAATGATCTTGGTGTTATGTAAGCATTTTATATCTTATTCGTACATAAAATGTTATATACAACGAAACATTGAACACTTATGACCATAAAAGCAAAAGGAAATATTATTTTATTACGAGTTAGCATGGTGACTCACCACTTTCGTTGACGGAGAAGATTAATAAAACATTCCGGGATTCCTTGAATGCTTGATTGAGATTTGCCTCATTTTGTGGTAGTGTAGCCCAAACATTTTTATTCTTAGCAATGGCAACATTGTCTGCATTATTTGATTTAATAAGGAAGAAGTGAGTACCCCGAAACAAGTAGTTTAGTTTAGTCATATAATCATACGATTTGCCACTAGTAGTCGACCCACTTTGTGTTTTCTTTTCGGGAGAAGCACTCTTAGATATCGGCTTTCGTCCATTACGTTTAATATTTGCTGCTGAATCAGAGTCCTCTGATTCGGAATCGCTGTCGAACGGTGTTTTCGTTGTAGGCTTGTCTTCTGCATCACTGGCTTCACTCTTATTACCACTGGTATTGGCGTGTGCCGATACAGATCCACTACTTGTATTTGCCGGCCCATTACTATTTGCTATTGAAGTAGTAGAGTTTTTGCTAGAGCTGCTAGCTTTTTTTTGTGTTTTCTTTTCTTTACTAAGGGTACCTTTCCTCTCTGAAGTTTTAGTTGACAATTCGTCTTTATTTGATGATTCTTCGTTGCTTCGTTTTTTCTTACCACCTATAGAACTTTTTCCGTTTACAGCTCCGACCGCCGGCGAAGATGTACGCTTAGTAGTTGCTTTCTTCTCACTCTCTTTACTAGCTTTTTTTTTTGTTTTATTTTTACGGTTTTCACCGATTGACGAAATAGTAGTGCTCACAGAACTAATACTAGGCTGGGAGACTGAAGACTCCGAACCTGATTCTGACGCCTCGCTTCTTGTGTCAAAGGAGTCGTCGAAATCTTGTAGCTCTTCGGCTATATCTGCTTCATTTTCGTCCAATCCTAAGTGTACTGCGTCCAAGTCAGCCATAATTTTCATCTGTTTTTTTCGATTTTACACTATATATGTAGCGCAGTCTGCGCTTATGCTTTTCCTCAATGGATGTATTTCTGCTTTTGTAGACAGTGCGAATGTGGCGAAAAGAAAGATGAAAATAAAGAGCGATGCCGACTTTTTTACAATTCATTGTTCTTGGCTATTAACTTACCTCAAGTTATTGGTTCTTTTAAAACAATTGCTAAGTAAACGATTTTTCGCAATATTGTAGCACTAATAATTATTTTACTTATTGATTTTTGCAATTCAACGTGGAAAGAAATTTGCATATACCTCAAAGATTTGTGGATAATTTTCTTCTTTCTTTGACAAACTGAGCGATGGTGGATGAGTGTAAAGAAATATGACGCGTAGCTAACCGTCTCATTCTTGAGGCACACTGTTGCATTGAAGAATCAAATTTGGACTATTCATTTTAAGTGTTTAGCAGCATATTTTTATTCGATATTATTTAAAATAATCTTTCGTTTTTGTGCATATTTTTAAAGATATTAAATTAACCTGCTAACCCAAATGTTCAGATATGTATCCCTTTCATTGATGTAACACATATCAGGATTTTTTTTTTGTTTTTTTTTTAACTCATTCTATTTGTCACAACGCTTATTCGCCGTAGTTATAAGAACTAAGCGAATTTGCCGGCATTTTGCAAAACAGCTGAATGTGACATTTAAAATTAGCGTATTTGGCTAAAATGTGTTTACATTTGTAAAATATTGTAAAAGGGCCTGAGAAAATTAATAATGAAGTTTGATTTGGATCAGAAACTAACCGTGTTACCACTTCAAATAATTGAAGAATTTACATTTCAGAAATGCTTGCTGCCCAAACAAATTTTTACTAAAAACGGCTTACGCCCAGGTGCTTGGATGAAATGTTGTGTTGAAAGAACGGGCTTTGACAACTGCTGTTTTCTATGCCAAGTTTATCCTCGAGATATTAACGTAAATTGTTGTTATCTAGACTATGGTGTTGGCACTACAACTGTTTTAGAAAAAGGATGCATATTAAACTGCCTAGAAGCGATAGAATGCCAAACAGGTGATAGCGAACAGGTTACCGTAACGTTGGAAATCGGTGAAAGTTTCTTTAAAAGTCGTCTACGCAAGTTGTCTATCAGCCTGTTAACTATCGCCATAAAGCAAATATTAACACCACTTAATTTAATGATAGGATCTGTTGTGCGCACTAAAAGCACTAACAATTTTGGAATATTTGCTATCCATATTGACTCATGTATAAATGCAAATGGAAATACACTTTTCCAATTGGATAGCCAAACACAATTGTATATAAACAATATATACATTAGTGTCAAATCGAATGCGTTGGAAGTAAAGCAATTTTTCAAACATGGTTACGAATCGGTTTGGAAAGAAATTGAGGATTTATTGTGTAATAGCAGGCTACGTGATATGCATATCGAATCTAATGGTATTCGGCCGCATCTAAATGCCCTTCTTATCGGTCCACCAGGTTGTGGCAAAACTGCTATACTGAATGCATTTGTCGAGCAGCATAAATGCAATTGTTTTTATATATCCACTGAAAACGTTTTACACGAGTATCCTGGTGAGGCCGAAGCACAATTGCGCAAAGAATTCGAAAATGCTTTATATTTAACTAAACATCTGAAATCTAAAAGTGAGTAAGAAATAATATTAAACTTTTATTCTAAAAGCAAATCTGTGAAATTATTAAAATTTCAGATCCTACCATAATCATTTTCGAAAATATTGACTTGTTATGTCCCCTTTCAAATAATGCATCCAGCACAGATGCAGGCAACTCAAATCGTATATGCGTGCAATTGGTTAAGCTACTTGACGAGCTGCACAATTCGGATGCTAGTATATTATGTATAGCGACTTCATCAAATCCAAGTGCCATAAATGCTAGCGTACGGCGACCTGGACGTTTTCAACATGAAATCACCATTGACTGGCCGAATGAGCAGACACGCAAAATTTTGTTTAATGCCATGTTCGAATTCAGTCAAGCAAAACCATTTCTGACGCCAAAGAGGCTTGACAATGAACTACTCGACTTAGTCGGCAAACGTACACAGGGTTTCGTTGCAGGTGATCTGGCGTTATTGGTACAAAATATAGAACAGAATCAAGTAAAGCAAGAGAAAGATTTCGACATTACGCATTTCGTMAAGTCAGCACTGAATAATGTAATAAAATTCAATAAGTAATCTTTCTGCATAATTAATAAAGMGCAACTTGCTTTTTTTAGGTAAGACCTGCAGCGGTGCACACGGCCGATGTAAGAGTATATAAATTTGTGGACGGCTTCGAAACTATCGGTGGTATGGACAAGCTAAAACGTACAATGGAGGTTAGCATTTTGGCTGGTCTGCGTAAACAAGAAAAGTTTAGAAAATTCGGACTAAAATTACCAAAAGGTAAATTTATAAAAATTATTTAGTTTTATTGTAGATTGTAAGCAAATTGTATTTTTATTTTTAGGCCTGCTGTTGTATGGCCCACCGGGTTGTGCGAAAACGACCTTCGCGAAATGTCTAGCCAAAGAAGCTGATATGACGTTTATTTCCATAGCCAGCGCAGATGTTTATTCGCCTTACGTTGGCGCAGCCGAAAAGTTTATTGTACGAATTTTTGATACCGCACGAAAAAATGCACCTTGTCTTATATTTTTTGATGAAATTGGTAGATGAGAACCAGACTTTGGCTTTATATGTATATATTATATATATTTATAAATTTTCATWTATTCTTTACAGATACGCTGGCCGGTCGACGTCCCATTAGCTCAAATAGTTCAAGTGATGTGCAGGTTCGTATACTCTCAACGCTATTGACTGAAATGGATGGCGTTATAGACGGTTCGGATGAGAACAGCCAGCAAATACTCGTCGTGGCAGCTAGTAATCGGCCAGATATGATTGATGATGCCTTACTACGGCCTGGTCGTTTAAGTAAACATATATATGTGCCAGCACCGGATTTACAGTCGCGTATATCAATTTTACAGTTAATTGCGAAACGTATGCCCTTTGCAGCAGATGTAAATATAAATAAAATTGCCGCAGAAACAGAGCTTTACACAGGCGCCGATATGTGCAATCTTTGCAATGAGGCTGCATTGTTAGCCTTTGAAAGATTAAGTATGGATAGTAGTGAAGATGATTATAAAATTAAAGCGAAAGAATTTGATTTTGCTTTGAAAAATTCAAAATCTTCACTCTCGACAAATCAGCTGAGCTTGTATACGAAATTCCAAAAGAAAATCGAGGCAAAATCATGAGAATAGCGRAGTATACTTGAATTGCTTTAACAAATATTTATGTAAATACTTTTTAATTGGTTGTTAAAATAAATGCAGGAAAGGGTTTGCATATTTAATGTTAATTAATTAATAATTTGATTATTTAAATAACTTTGTATGTAGATGTTGTATATTAATTACATATGCATGCGTGAAAATAAACGTATAAATGAATTTATATAGGTTTRGACCAATAAAAATACTGAAAATTTTTTGTAAAAAAGTTTTTAGTGCAACGTTACAGAACCTATTTTGCAAATATTTTACAAAACTTTAATTAAATGCGGAAATATTGGTGTTCGTATTAATATTCGATTAATTATAAGTTATAAATCCAAGAATGTTTTGTTTTTCTTATCAAATGTGTCTCAAAAATGCGCTAATAGTTACAAACATATGTCAACACTAGTTTATTTTAATTGTTTATACATTTTGACTTCCAGTTGCAAATACATATGTATGTATGTATGCGTGTTGCTATTAGAATTTACGTGATTTGACTTTAATTTGTTTTCCTTTTAGTAAAGCCCATAGCAGAATGCAGTTGGCAGTTGACAGAGTACGTGTGAGGGKTACAAAGGGATGTAGATCAGATGGTAGAACGCTCACTTAGCATGTGAGAGGTACGAAGTACGGGGATCGATGCCCCGCATCTCCATCTTTGGGAGAATGTTGATTTTTACCAAAAATAGTTTTTAGTTAATTATAGATAATTTAAAAATAGATATATTTTAATTGAATAAAAGTTTAAACATATATAAATTAAATAAATAATATAAAAAAAGAAAAAAACATTAACTTCTTCGATTACACTGAGCTGAGACTATATAAAAGATCCTTATTTTGATTTTCTTGAGAAATTTGTTTAGAATCTTTATGATGTAGTGTTCCGATTTAAAAAATTTCTTCGTGAATTGTAGTGAGGCCTAGGAAAATACTACCTTGTTAAATAATAGAAGATCCGATCCGAACATATTATATAAGTAAATAGCGTTGAAAGTTAAGAAATTAGAAAATGAGATATACATTTTACCCAAAGGAGACTCTACTTATTCCGTTAAAAGCAGCAAAATTTGCAAAACAAAAAAAACAAAAAAAAAAAAAAATTATCGAGTCAGAGGCTGAAAGATAAAAAACAGAAGTTGAAGAATCGGACTGCAGTTGCGTAACACTTTGAAAAAGTCCATAAAGGGTTACTTGGGTTTCCTCGGGCATTTTTTTAAACAATTTTTTCTCTTATAAAAAATTAAATATTTTAATAGAATTTTTTATTGTTACAAACATACACTATTAACACTGAAACTGTGAAATTTTTGGGAAAAAAAAATATTTTAAACTCGGTCATTGCGAGGCCATTTCCGATGACCCCTCAGAAAAGAGATGCGCGCGCTTTGGCAGGATAACTCCTTAGAGAACCATGTAAAGTGAAAAATAAGTGTTTCTGTTAAAACCTTAACTTAGAATTTGGACGAAGGAAAAAAACTAAAAATTGGATTTTTGGCAGACATTTTTACAAAAAACAAAAAAAAAAAAAAAAAACAATTTCAGTGAACATTTTTCGAAAAAGACCAGTGTAAAATTTCATGAAGATCGGTTGATTAGTTCGCGAGAAATCTAGCACACAAGTCCTCAAGGCTGTATCTCCGATATTATTACACGGGTCAACTTGAAAATTTAGGACAATATTCTAGAGGTACATATTTAATAATTTAATAAGACAATAAAACAGGAAAAAACGTTAACTTCGGCTGCACCAAATCCAAGTTCGTWTATATGCAGACAGACGTGCATGGCTAAATCGACTCAGCTCAACATGCTGATCATTTATATACGTATGTATAYACTTTATAGGGTTTCCGACGCTTCCTTTTGGGAGTTATCCTGTTCAGGGTRTAAAAATCGATTTTTTGAAACCCGTAAACTCATGAGAACCTTTACGCCATTGCAATCAAAGCAAAAAATTTCAAACACTCTTCAGCTTTGAAAAGAGGAAAACAAACACAAAAAATAGAAAAGAAAAATGGGTGATGGAATCCCGAGG